CCAAGGGGTGCCTCCTGGTTTAACCCCAGGGTGTGTCTCCCTGCCCACAGTTCTGCTGTCATTGACCTTCCTGAAGCACATGGGCTACTGCTTGACATCGGGGTTGAGCAGGGGTTGGTTGTACTTGTCAGGTCTTCCAAAGTATTTGTCATTCCTTTTATAAAGATTTCAATTTTGAGACTTCTAAAATGAATTAAAAAGTTAAGATTGAACATTTAGTATTTTGGTTGTCACTTTGGAATAAAATATGCTTTGGTGCTTTAAATTATATACTCATTATTTTAGGTAAGAAACTGGCAATAAGTGGCCTAATTAGATATTTTACATGTAGATAAAATACGTCTCTACTGATTCTGGGGATTGGTCAAAATGGATAGGGAAGATGGTATTAGTTCAAATTAGTATGCTAGGTCAAGATACTTAGATTCAGTTTTCTGAGCTGTTAATTGTAACATTAAAGCTAATTTATTATAATGAAAATGTAAACTTTGAGGTATGTTAACATATAGACATTTCACCCAGAAGTATGATCGGGCTAAAAGATCCCTAATATTGGGCACACTGGGTCAAGTTTGAGTTAGACACAATTGATTTGGCTGGCACCTTTTACACATAGGTGAAATATAAAAGTTCACACGAGTTAAAGAAGAGAATAAGGTATGGAACAAGAAAATGTGTCCTGCATGAATCTGGCTGACTTGACTCTTACCCATTAGCCCTTGATGACAATTTGGGGGAGCCTTAACTTCCCAGGTTACAACAGAATGCCCTGGAACTGAGCCATTCTAGTTTCATCTTTAAAGAGGTTTATTTGTCCCGGAATGTGAGTCTTTACCATGACAGAAGAAGCTTCAGTGCAGCATTGGAGCTGGGGTATAAAGGCTAGTGGCACTGCTTGTCCTGCTGCCGTGCGCATCACTGAGTGGAAAGCACGTTTGGACTGTGGGACCATCTGAACAGGCTGAGGCTCTGTTCTTTGCGCCTCGAGCACCGAACGTTTTACCTGCCTCCTGGGAAATATTTCTTAAGCATTTGGAAAAATTATTAACCAAGTTCTTTAATATCTAGTGACACTTGTATTTGAGCCGTATACCAATGTTTGTATTTTCTAACCATTCGAGATATTTCAACTTGTAAATAAAAAAAAAGGCAAAATGAAATTCTGTTTCCTTTGGTTTGAATATTAATTTTTTTAGGTCCTGACAGCATTAGATGAGGCCAGCCTTTGTTTCTGGCCATGGAAGATTTTAGTCTGTTCAAGAACCCACTAGGGAGTGGGGAGGAGGAATCTACCCAAAAGAGAAGTGTTCTCTGCAAACTTGTTGGCTGCTGACCACACAGGAAGTCCTCATTTAGTATTAACCATGTGGGGACTTGAAAAGAAGGGAAAGTGAAGGCTTTGTTGTGAGCGTCTCCATACACTCAGTGCCAAGGCCTGTCTGCTGGCATTTCATATTATTTAACTCAGCTTGTTAAATCTTAAATGTATGTTAATCTTAAATGCAGAGCCAGCTTTGGGGGAAAGTCTAGGCAGGTACCTAGATAGAGTTAAGCTCCCCACTCCATCTCACCCTCACTAACAGCTATATTTCATTGCCTCTGTAGGGATACAGCTCATCAGGACAGCTCCAATGGGTACTTCTTAAATTGCAAATACATTATTATTAGTTATCAATGGTATGAACATTAGTCATTAATACTTAACAGTAGGGCGCATTTGAGGAAAGTCTACAGCACATGCACTCCTCCCAATACTGGGCTCTCAGAAAGGGATAGTAATTCATGAAACATTGCCCAGTCGTGGCCCAGGGTGGTTGGGGATGGGCAGAGAAGCACTGCGAAGAAGCTAGATACACTTTACATACATGTTTCAATATCCCATCATTTTGGAAAGTGATAAAAATAGAAGGAAAACAGAAATTTAAAAATTAAGCTCTTTGAGCTTTCTAACTGGAGGGTGAGGGGGCTTATACTGTTCCTTAAATCTCTAGAGTTTTTGGGTTCATTTTACTTGATGCTACTAAATGCCCGTAAGTAGTTCCCAGGCTGGTGATCCTCTGAATCGTGAGTGGCTGGCGCTCCAAGCAGCTACCTCTGGGGTGGGTAAGCCTTAACTGGACTTCTGTGGGTCAGTGTGTTTGCTCCTTTGGCCTCTGACCTGATTGCTCCACATGGGACATCGCCTGTCTGGGAGGAGCATGAGGGGAGCGAGGGGCCAGAGTTCCAGTGCTGACCTTCTCTGGCAAAGAATAAGTTGGCTGAACTCGTTACTTACCCTCACCCCCTGCAAAAGTAGTCTGTGGAGGGACTTTCCAAAGTCCCTATCTCAGACCTTAACTCTCCCTGCCTTTCCGGGATTCTGGAAAGCCCTCCCTCGCCCAACCCCATCCCCCCTGCAGCAGATGAACAGAAGAAATGTGTGCCATGAGCTGCTGTTCTGTCCACCTCGCACAAACCTTACGGGCACCAGAGCCAGGCATGCGGAGCTGACCAGGGTGGCCCCATCCAGCTGGGGCCGAGAGGACCATGATA